CCCAGGAAGTTTATCTTGGGAGGGTGGTAACTTAAAAAAATATTTTTTGGGAGGGCGAAAATTATTTTTTGGTATATATATACACTAAAAAAAAATTTGTTGGAGGGGCGACTGCCCTCTGGGTCTCTACTACGGTCCGCCCCTGGGCCCCAAGCCTTTCTATATATATTCGGAGTCTCAAAGATGGAGATCTGCGCCTCTGCGGAAGAAAGGGAAAGGAATAGATTGAGTGACAGGGGGAAGGAAAGAAAGAAAGAAAATGAAATGCAAGAATGGGGGATTGGGGGAAGAAGACGGGTCTGGCTGCTAGCCTGCTAGAAGAAAGAACGAGAACACAAAAAGAAAGAAGAAAGAGAAAGAAGGAGAAAAAGAAAAAGGAAATGAAAAAAGGAAAGAATAAAAAATAATAGAAAACAGAAAATAATGCTACTTGGACATCCACATCATCAGGTAACTGGGTTACCGGTGGTTTACCGGCTAAATAATCAATTTGATTGATTTTTAAAACTTTATGGACTCAATTGACACACGAAAAAACTCTAAGGACCCAATTGACTTTTTCGTAAAAGTATAGGGACCTATTTTTTATTATTGCAACGGAGCATAGTGTTTATAGCCACTCTTTTGTCCATCAATTATATTGAGAAAAATATAAAGTTAGCTCGTTATTTTAGGTATTTATTTTAGTTTTAACCATAAATTTAACCATGTAACTAATAAATTTATCTATACTATGAATTTTTCTATTATTATAATGTACGAATATGATGACATTTGTTAATGAACTAGTTTTTTATACGCGCCGTGCGCGACTATGTAAATGCCCAATGTTATATTCGTGGAATACAATTTTCTAAACTATCCACTAATGTATAATGTGAACAAACCACTACACAGATATGCGGTTTCAATAAACCAAATATTCATAATAACTCATTGTAAGCGATCAATAATTAAAATTTTTGTTAGAAATGAGTACACGGTATGAATTAAAGATTTGATTTAGAATAAATAAAAGTTTGCTTAACCAAATACTATCGTAATAATTACACTTAAATATGACATTTTTCTGTAGATGCATTGATGATAATAATGTTGCTATATTTCTTTACTCTACGAAGAAGTAGTATTGCAACACTCTCGGGCAGACACCTGTTGCTGCTATAGCCTTGCTTGCGGCGGCTAGTTCCTGCTTACACAGATCTTCATTTCAAGCATGCCAATATTTTTAATTCCTTTTGTTTTAAACCTTCCATTTTCATGATTGTGGTAATGCAAAAAAATATCGGCCGATCCCAACCCAAAAAAGTGTGGCCGGGACCCGCCCCACGACTCTCAATCCCGATCCGGTATATGTATTTGACACTTTTGATACTCGACTTTGATTTTTTACACTTTTAGTCCTTGACTATCTTGCTAGAGACACTTTTGGTACATGTGTTTGAAAATTTCCATATTTAGTCTTCCGACTTTCATAATAATGACATTTTTAGTCCTCAATTTATTGTATCAAAATCTCAATAGAAGGACTAAAAGTGTCAATTTAATAATTCTTAGAGGACTAAATAAATGACTAAAAATGTTTCTAGCACAATAGTCGAGGACTAGAATTGGAAAAATTAAAACTCAAATACTAAAAATGTCAGTGACATAATAGTTGGGGACCAAAAATGGAAAAAACTCTTATAATCAACTAGAAAGTCCAACAAAAAACAATTGCTCTAAAAAGATGTATATGCTTCTACGAATTCCCTGCATGAATCCATATGTACGAGCAGCCCATCAACTAAAGTATGGTTAAGTTATAATTTGAAAAGATAACATGATGCTATGGGAAATTGGGAATTAAAGGGTCTTTGAAAATAAGGTCAAGGATCAACTTCTGCAGAGGGCTAGAGGCCCGGTTTTATTCTAATTCTATTGGGCTTCGTCCATTAATTAGAGCATCTTTAATGGGAACGTGGATTGTTTATAATGCATTGCCACATCATATTGAAGGAAAAAATATGTCTCCAGCGGAAATATGAATTCTGGCCGTGGTGCTGACTTGGACGGAAAATAAATGCACATTGTCTATCTCCCCTTCTACTTCTGGAGGGCGTGTCTCACATGCTGACTCACCAAAACAACCTTTATCTCATACTCCGTAGAATTATTTTGGCGCAATGGAAATTACTAGCAAAAGCTTTCTCTCCCTTCTGTACCGAGCTATAGCCTGCTTTACTAACCAAAAGCAACAACTAGCGCCCACTATTTAGCAGCCCCTTGTGATGCGGCGGCAGTCCTCTAGGCGGCGGCGGGCCGGCGGCAACAGCGGGCAGCCCCCTTTTCTCCAATTCGTTTTATTTTTCGGCATATAAAAACCGGCGAGAAGTGTTTCTTCTTTCATCGTGGCTTACTCGCTCGTTTCTCCTTCTTTGGCAGCACCGGCATGATTATTTTATTATTTCCATTTCCCTGTAACAGAGTGACGGGCTCTACATTTTTACTAATATACAGTATATGTTCATGTTTGTTTATACACACCGCACACACGAGTTGGTCAAGAGACCGGTTGTGTGTTCCAATCTTCCTTTTGCAGATGCATGGTTCTTCGTCGGCATACATATACTACGTATGTCGTATACTCAGTATAATCCCTATATCTTATACGGAGTATATATATAATCGAGACTATTGGCGGTCCGCTCATAATAATCTCAAATATTGATTATTCCAGAATAATCCCAATTTTAGGAACCTTCCGCCAATAATGGTCCCTATAAATAAATTCTTGTTGTTTGTAAAGTGGATGAGATGAGATATAGCAAAAAAATCCCTATAAATAATGCCAACTTTTAATTTTTATGCTTAATTTCTATTTAAAATTCACTTGGTATAGGAGGTAATAATACCTTGTCATGGACCATTATTGGCAGACGGTCTATATAGTTGAGATTATACAAAAATAATCAATAGTTGAGATTATTGTCAGCGGACCGGCAATAGTTGAGATTATTATTTTCAATTTGTCCTATATACTATTATGAGAAACATATTTTGTATAATGATATGGTTTATGGTGAGTCGTAAATTGGGTATGAGTAGTAAATAATTAAATGCTTTGATTTTTTATTTAGAGAATGCGTATGGACTCCATTGGAGAGGAAATGTCATTTTGATTGTCTGTCCGTCCACGTCATCTTCACGGTCTATGCATATGGATGACATGTCCATTTTTTATGGAGTGCAATTCACGTTTCTATTGGAGATGCTCTTAGAATATGAATAGTGTGCATGATAGCCGTTATATTTACTTGTGTTTAACATAAGTATTTATAAGTATTTGTTGAAGAAAGGAAGAGAAATCGGACAAATACCTCCAGAATGAGAGCTAGAGCATAAAACATTGCGATGAACGACTTTTTAGACCAAGAGAATGACGTTCTGCCCATAATTTGAGTATAACGTATTCTATAGAACTCGAAATCACTCGATTCGAGTTTCATGTGAATGCTAACTCAATAAGGTACAAATGTTATGAAGACGTCATGGCCAAAATATGAAAGGAACAAGACTCAATCAACCAACAAAGTCAGATGTTGCTGGTGGGATTTCAGGATGCATACCTCTCAGTGTTTTAGCCATAACGTTTGATTGGATGAATAAAATCACGTCATTCAAGTTTTGGTGGATAGAAGACTTCATTATCTACAACTTTGGTGAAGAAATCATGTCCAAATTCGTAGCGGAACATCCCCAAAATCCTGGGACAAAAACCGACACTTTTTGATCAATTTCGGAAGAAGAGAAAGGAAGCGCATTTTCGCACTAAACGAGCCTGTTTGCGACCGGGGCCGGTTCTAGACTGACCGGGGCCGGTTGGGACGATTTCAGCTCAAACAAAAGGTCGTGCAAGAGGATTTTTGATGGGGAAACTTCACCTTCCTCATCTCTTGATCAAATATTGCTCCATACCTGATTGTTGGGCTCGAATAGACTAAAAGATGTCATTCTTTAGCCTATATAAAGCCTTCAATTCATCAAGCAAATACATTCCATTCCATAGATTAATTCCTAGCTTTTATATTTTGTTCTTGCTATTTTTCTTCAAGTTCTTGAGGAGGAAACTTCAACCTCCGAAATCATTGGTGTTTAGGTATTATTTCCTTTGTAATTTCATGTTCCATTACATTTCAATATTGTATTGTGATTAATATGAGCATTAGAGGCTAATTTCTTAGCTAAGGCTAGGGATGAACTTCTATGCCCACTAGGTGTTTGATAAAAGTTCTAAACCAATAAATTGTGATTTATCCTTTACATTTTGATTGTTTATGACTATGGTGTACAACATAGAAGTATGTTAAATTTAGTTTATACTTGCAATTAACGTTGAAGTCTAAACTATGAACATTAAAGGATAAACATATATATTACCGAGAATAGAAATATATCCGGTATTATATGATACGGGTGTGATGTCTTGATATTCAACGGGGTTTTCGGTAGATGAATGTAAGCCGTAACGGGACTTACACGTAACGAAAACCACGCTCTCGCTGCCTTAACCGGAGTTGAGAATATATTAGTGACATCGTATTCATAATTATTGGTAAAGAACTAATATTTAACCCTATTAAAGCATTTAAGTGATTCCCGAAGCCTTAGCCATTGTTATCATTCATTTTAAATCCGAATTAATTAAAGTTGTTTCCTTGAATTAAAAGTGAAAAGTCAAAAATACAAAACACAAATCAAAATCCCTGCACTTTACTCATTTATTTATTTAAAAGTCATCTACTCTCGGACTAAATTAAACAACGTTTCCCTGTGGATTCGACCCGGTATTTTACCGGAATTTATTACTATATCGGCACTTGTACACTTGCAAGTTTAGCTCGATCAAGTTTTTGGCGCCGTTGCCGGGGAAACAGTCTTGTTTAATAAAGTCCAAACAATCAACCAATCAAAAATCCTGAATTTATTTTACTCTTCACAACTTCACTTGATCTTTGAAGGTTTATTTTTGTGTGTGTAGATATTCCTTTGTGTTTGCATGCACTTGAGAAGTCAAGGTTGTAAAACTCTTGAGCCACTTGATCTTGAAATAGAAAAAACTTGCAAACACATTCGGAAGGAGCAAAAAGCCACAAAGATGATGTCCACACTAAACGAGAGGAGGAGGCCTGTGGTTGCCACCACTCCCTCATGTATCGTCCTAAGCGAGGCGGCCCGGGACTATGAAATGAAAAATAGCTACTTCAATGCTATGACTCAATTTCATGGTGTTCCGGGGGAGAATCCACTAAACTTCATCACCGAGTTCTATGGATTCATCCAAGGAATCTCTAGGCATGGTCTCACCGAGGATGATCTTAAACTCAAAAGCTTTCCCTATACCTTGAAAGGGGAGCAAGGGGATGGTTCTTGGAGCAAGCACCGGCAACCTTTACAACGTGGGAAGGTATCTATAATGCTTTCATCTCCAAGTATTATACACCCACAATGACTCAAGAGCTAAGACAACGAATCTTCAACTTCAAACAACAAGTTGGAGAACTATTTCAAGACGCATGGAGGCGTTTCAAAGCCTTGTTGAAGGAATGCCCACATCACCGCATTCCTCTTGATCTTCAAATTGATACATTCTACAATGGTTTGAACTCTTCATGCCAAGCCATTGTAGACAACCGTGTGGAGGGCTATATTGGCAACAAAACTGAAACGGAGGCCTTGAGAATCCTTGAATCCATTGCTTCAAATCCTCAACTACAAGGAGGAGATGTCAAATTAGCCGGTGTGAGCGAGATGTCCATAGCCCATGAGTTGGACAGGCGATTTGCTGATTTTCAACAAGCCATGCACAAAGATCTTCAAGCCTCTATTCACACGGCTCTACAAGCCGTGATTGGAGGGGCTAGTCAAGTGGCCAATGTGGAGAGTATAGCACAACCGGAAGGTAATTCACCTCAAACTCTTGAAGATGTGAATTACATGAATTCATATGGAAATAGGGGGTATCAAGGATACATATGTGACATGAAAGATAAACACATAAAAATAATAAATAAAATGCATCCTTTCTTATTTCAATGGTTTTGTCTTTTTTTTATTATCATTTCTCACCAAAATGGCCAGCGCGCGTCATTTTTTAATAGATGTCTTAATTGGAATTGAAGGAGTACTATGTCAGTTCAACTTAATGATTAAGTCAGTATTTTGACTGAATGCTTAAGTGTACATTCAATTAAGTTGTGAGTAACATGATTTAATGGCTGAATGATTAAGTCACTGTTCACATTAGGTAAATTAAGTCGAAAGTAAATGGTCTCTAAATCTAATTAAACAATATTAATAATGTGATTTTGTATTTGTGAGATATGGCTTCCAACTTTTATTATAATTATTTACTAGGGGGAATACCTTCATTGTACTCTTATGGATATATACGATAAAGTATCATTCGAGTTGACTTCATTTAACATACCTTATTGAATAAGGTATGTGACAAAAACAAACTCTTAGCTTGTAGAATACTAGTAGTTGGAAAAGTTTTTTTAAACTTTGAAATTCATAACACCTACACATCTACGCGCTCAATCTGTACATAATTAATGATGTTTGATAGCGCTATTATCACAACTAGTATCGTACACGTGCGATGCATCGGAACATTTTTCTTTTCAATATTTTATCTATTTTGGATTTTAAAGAAAGATGCATATAAATATAATATATAAGAAAATTGAGGGCTAAGCAATTGCTTTATCAATAGAGCCAAAATTAAGTTATGATACATACTATGCAACCGATGTATGTATGATTTAGCAATTGCAAATGTAATATTGAAACACTGTACTATCACAATTCACAAAAAGAATTAAGATTTAATTCCTTTGGGAGGTATTATTATCCAAACAATTGTTGAAGTGTGGATCCATTGCAATTTTGAGATGTTGCATTGAGTGATGAATATGATGTGTGTTGCTCCGATTGACGAACTCACTACTATAATATTAAAATAATAATAATTATTATTTATCCGTAAAATAGTTGGTCCATGGTGTTAAAATTTAACAATGTTATAATTGCATAAAAAATTATTTTTTAATACTCTGTATGAAACTAATGTGAAAATAAGCAAAGTCGAAAAACAGTACCAAAAGGGCTCATAGATTTTCGTGTGCAAACATCTTTTGTACTCTATTGAGTTGCTCTATAATCACCATTCTCTAATCCTCCAAACTGCAAAATGAAATTTATGTTGTTGCCCGTAGTGCATCATATCGTGGATCTGCTTGGTGGTTTTCTAATCTTGTCTTCTACTCCGTATTCTAAATAATGTACGTTATGCGCATGTGATGACTATACATACATACATGACTATACATACATACATGACTACATAAGCGAACCGGTGGCTCCACTAAAAAAAGCTAATCAGCGTGAATACGTTTTGGACCAAGGCCTGCATATTTGTTCGGTCGTGAATAGTTATGGCCTTGGTTTCCCTTTTTATATTAATATAGATTTATAATAAAAGTTTACTGTCGCTACAACTATCCGAAAAATATAATCAACTAATAGAATCACATAGTTTTAAAAATATGGGCACATGCATCATCCATACAATAGCTGGTGGACTAAAAATATAATTGATTCAATTATTTACAAAAAAAGTAGGACAATTTGGTACACTATTTAAAAAATCTCATAACAATCTCACATATACTATCTTAATAGATTAACTAGTATCGTACCCGTGCGTTGCACGGGATAAAATGATTTTTTGTAGTTTATTTGTAGTATATATATAATGAATATTGATGTAATACACTAACACACCATCCTTCCCATAAATTCTTCTCAGTTTGGCTCATATCGAAGTTTAAGAAAATGAGAATAAAATGGAAATGTATGGTTGTGATTGAATAAGAAAAATGTGAATAAATGTTAGCCACATAAAATATTTCAAAAAGGGAAATGCGAAGAATGTTTTAGGACATCCCAAAAGGATAAAATGGAAAAAAATTTATGTGACGAAGAAAGTATATGTTTATATAAAATCATTGCAGTACAAACTAAATAAAACTACATGTTCTTAAAATCATTAAACCGAAAAAAAAGCGCATGCCGTGTTGTAATGAATCCTATATACTTACTAGTTTTGCAACGCGCGGTTGCGCGATTAGCTAAATGCCCAATAATTTTTACTTGGCGTAAACATTTGGTTTAATTCTTGATTAGTGGAAAACATAGAGATTGTATAATTCAACGCGCGTTGCGCGTTTGGGATAATGCCCAATACCATAATATTATGTAGGCAATGCGATTCCAATTGGACCACCCAATCCGCTAAATGATACTCCCTCCGTCCCGAAAACAACTTCTCACTTTCCTTAAATGGATGTCCCAAAATTAACTTCACACTTTAATACTTTCCTTATTTGGCAAATTATCTACATCAAAAAAGTGATAAACAGTGCCAAACAGTGTTTAAACAGTGCCAAACAGTGTTTAAACAGTGCAAAACAGTGCATTCTACAGTAAAGTCAAATTTATTTCCTAAAAGTGTGTGAAAGTCCAACCGGGAAGTTGTTTTCGGGACGGAGGGAGTACTATCGTATGTATCACATGAGGGCACCTTGTGCATTTCTAAACAGTTTAAAATTTTACAATGTGTTATTGATGATATTACACATACTGATTAGTGTAAAATCATTCCAATATCAATGGTTGCACTTCCTGGGAATAAGAAGGGAATAATTAGGGTTCCTTTTTGTTTATGTTTTTTATGCAAAGTCACATGTACATAATATTCATGTGATAGAAACTAATACTTTTTTTAAAGATCGGAAATCAAGCAACCTTTGTAACATGAGCACTTTAGTCTTTAGCTATAGCACCTGCACAGATATTACACCATTATTTACAACGGTAATAGCTTCAACTTCTAACTTAAGAATAAGATTATTTATATTGCTGATTTTTTAATTGCTTGTTTGGGAGTTGGGACACAAGATATATACTATACTCTCTCTTCAAGTGTTGTGCAGGCTGCTTGGTCCATTTCAATTTAACATTGCTTAACCATCCAAACTGAAGTGGCAACTGCCATGATTGTAACTTCACGAGTTGTTGCCGGTACGGAATCAATATGTTTGTTCCTCAGACCTGAAATGCACATTATTGTTTTGTAAAGAAGAGCAATATGTAATAGAAACTAATAAATGTAATAACTTTCACACAACTTCAAAAATACAAAAGATATTGAAACATCATCATTCTTTATGCTTTATAAACTATATCCAGATTTCCTGCTCTTTCTATAAAAGAAATCAGCGCTTAAAATAAGTTTTGAAAAAAAACTAAAATAATTTTGAGCTTGATAATCTCATCTTTTAGCTAATTCGAGCTTTGTTTTCATCACTTTTTTCAGGTCCTCTATATTTGACTATAGTTTTCATGTAGCATTTTGTGAATTCAAACTCCAAAAGGGCCCTATTGTTTGAACTAATTTGAAATAGCTTCTTCTTTTTAAAAGAGGAAGTGAATTGTATATTTTATGTTTCTGTGGGTTAAAAATAGATACTACCTCTATTCTCTTTTAATTGCAATGTAGGACTTTTTGCACTATTCACACATTCTACTTTGACTATAGTTTATTTATTAATGTATTACAAATTAATTTTTTTTAAATATTTTTAAATTCCTCTCATTTTAAATTTTCAAAATCTGATTTTTTTTAATTTTTTTTACTAATAAAGAATGAAAGATATTAATGATCAAACATGTACATTGACAAGCGTGAAAAGTGGACCGATGCAATTAAAAAAGAACGGAGGAAGTATACATGTATATAAAAAAATTATTTGATGGGATTACGAAATTATTTGCAGTGCAGTGTTATTTTCCTGTAATTAAACTGATCTCTACATGACTACATCTGATGTTGGTGCATCTAGCAGAGGTGCAACATGACGATTGAACCTCTGATCATTGTACGTACAATACCATGACATACATTGCCATGATTTTCTACTCACTTTTTTGTGTGGAGGGAAGCAGGATAGATAAACCATTTGAGCTGGAATTAAACTTCTACATACACATTTCTCCCACAAAAATTAAAATATAGGAAAAATCAAATTTATTTAGACAGGATTATTCCTGGTTTCTATAGAGATCATGCAGTAGAGCTTTAGTAGGCTGGTTCTATTTTCAAAAATTAAAGGTACCACAGCAAGTACCACATGTATGTTATACAGAAGGCTAGCCATTGTTCTTTCTCAAAACTGTTAATAGCGAAAAACTAACAAATTTTCCCTTCAAGAACTGAAACTAACCTGAGACATCATATGTACATAAACAGGATCGAATACACATGAACAAGGAGAAAAGACTTACAATAGAAAGGGCCGGAAGAGTTGTGGTGCTTGGTGTTCCAACATATTTTAATCTCCAGATGACTCTCTAGAGAGGAATGTAGAAAGGGAAATAGGTGAAGAACAATGATTAGCAGATAAATCAGATAAAGTAACCAGACTACTGGAGACACTGAGTTTGTGAAATAGATAAATATATGAAGAAAATGTAATTCAGAAGATCAATATCTAACGCAGTAGTGATATCCCTGAGTTGGTCCTTAACACTGAAAGGTTTTAACTCTTCCTCTAGCCTAGTAATAAAAATACTGCATAAAAGAAATGATAACTACCATTGGGCAAACATGAAGACACTCGAAAAATAAAAAAATAAAGCGGGGATGCATTAGGTCATTGCCTCAACTCAAATCAGCATATGGTTTGAAGTTACAGTTGATATTTCAGGGGACATTGTGGTCTGAATTTATGCATGATAAAAATGGTATATCATCTGAAAAAACATTGTTAAATGTATTCCAGAAAACAAAACAATGAAAATGTAACGGGTCGATGTAAAAAACTATCTTCACATTGAATGTGGTTTGATTTAGTTTTTCAAGTTAATCAGCTAGTTTACAAAATAACAATCACTTGGCACTTTTAAGACCCCTGTGTGAAAATTAAAATCAAAACTAAGTTTGTCTTAAATGATGTAGCTAAATAGATAAATGAAGGAGCTATAAAATCAAAATCATTGAAATCTTTGGCTTAAAAGGGGGGAAGCTGAGTTTGTGGAATAGATAGATATATGAGGAAAATGTAATCCTCCCGATACTTTGGGAAAGTGACGTGCACTTTGTCGTGAGGTGCACTCAAAGTAATAATACAATACAACACAAATACATAGTATAGTGAAGTAAGGTTCGTATCCACAGGGAAAAGAATACTTTTCTTCTTACAGAAATAGATAAGTAACAATAAGGGGGGTTTATATTTGGTTGATGAACTTTAAATTATATTTAAACACGAAGATGAACGAGTTATGTGGTTTAATTAATAAGAAGAAGACTCGGCTTTGCTTTTATCCACTTAATGAAATGTTCGTCGATCCCGGTTATATCTTTAACTATCTTCCTCTCGAATACTCAATCGAGGAGTATATCCAATTCATCGAGGGTAGTTATTAATAACGAGACGCGTTCATTAATAAAACTTACTACCGAGTTAATATAGAACACGCGCCGTATATTCACTCGATAGTAGCAATAAAATCAAGATGAAAACGATTGAGATTGATAACCTCAACACAAGCGGTTTATTGGTTTAATCAATATAATTAATGCCCCTTGGTTTATTAACCATGAAACGCATGCATTAATAACCCAAGTTTGCTACCGCGAAAGGACCGAATTAATAACAAGCGTATTAATCGACCGATTCTAGTAATAATTAATATATGAAACAAAACTAGTTGATCCTTTAAGTAATGTTCAAAATATTAATATAAAATATGAATAGGAATTAATTAATACTCAAGGAAGAATATTAAAGAAGATGAATCCTACTATAGTTAATATCAAGATGTTAACTAATTGTCATCTTAGTAACACTCCCCGATATTAACGTAGAGGAAGAAATAACTATTACTATAACTAATGTCAAGATGTTAACTAATTGTCATCTTAGTAACACTCCCCAACATTGATATAGAAATAGTATTCAAAGAAAGAATTAATATTCAAGGAAGAAGATTAAAGATAATAACTCACAACTTACAAATTCATTAAGCTTCAAACTAGCAAAACCAAGATGGAAGAGTTTAGCTCCTCATTTGGAGACTAAACATGATGAAAAATATAAAGAAAGAACTTGTCTAAACTGAGCTGAGAAGTATATGTGAATTGGTGCTTTTATGGGAAGGAAATGGGGTGTATTTATAGGCTTTTGGGAGCTGCAGGGCTGTGTACCCGATCGGGTATATAGGATACCCGATCGGGTATCTTAGGAAATTGCCCAGAAACTGAAAAATAGGGTCATACCCGATCGGGTCTGTCGGTCACCCGATCGGGTATGACAATCGAACATGGCCAAAATCTCTCCCGCATGTTGCTCGGTTCCCGGGTTGATCCGATTTGATTTTTTAGAAGGGTACCCGATCGGGTATAGGTCATACCCGACCGGGTACAGACCAAAAACGAAATCTCCACTTTTTGTCTTGCATTTTTGCACTTTCCTTCCACTTGTGGTGTTCACCAATGGTCCCCAAAGTGTTCTTGGACCTGTTTGAGCTCAGAATAAACCTAATCTAAACATATTACAAATATTTTACAAACTAAACTATTACACCAAAAGTGTGTAATTTCCGAAGTAACACTCACTCTAAACTAATTAAAAACACAAATTTACACATGGAAATTACATGAATGTCAACTCCCCCACACTTAGCTTCTTTACTCGTCCTCGAGTAAAGTCAAATGTTTAACAGTTCCAAGTCCTCAAGAGTTCAACAATCAACAAGAAAAAGCAAAAGACCACCAAGGATAAAACATGAGTTTTACATTGAATGTTTAGCTCAACGAACAATATCTTCTTGGGTTTTATGGCCTTCTATGCTCATCTCTTTTCTTCTCCTCTTTTCATGTTCAAGAGATTAAATGATGTCCTATAAAAACAAATATCTCTCTCATATCTCTCATTTTGCCTAGGAGCCTTTTCAGGTTTTCATCCTAGCATCTCTTTTTATTTTCCATCCTTTCCACTCACTCATTTTTTTTAAAGCCATTTTTGCTTAGATTGCCCATTTTTGGGTTTTCAACCTAACTAGCATTTCTTTTCTTTTCCTTTTTTTTGATTTATTTTTTTATTTTTTTTGTTGAAGAAAATGATGTTAGTTACAAGGTATCAAACTTAAGTACGTACCAATGAGTGACTCCCCCTCACTTAGCTCGAAGCACTGTCCCTAGTGCTCGTCTCCGTCATACTCGGGATGAAACAGACATCCTCGTAGCCTTGAATTGTCCCCTTGCATTTGAACTTTCGGCCCTATCCCTCTTCGGTGCCATTGATGCCCTTTTGACGCTTTGAAATTCGGACTTGGTGTTTTTGGGGTAGGGTTTCGGATTTTTGGGGAGGGGGAGAGATGGTGTAATTGGTGGGTATGATGTGGAGAGGAGAGTGAGGGAAGTGTTTGGTGGTGGGTTGAGGGAATTTGGTTGAGTGATGATGGAGATATGGAAGGAAAAGGGTCAAAAAATGGTGGGTTGGGAGAGAGAAAATCGGACATTGGGGTTTGGGGAAGAAGTGACTTGAATTGGGTCTGATTTGGGGTAAAAAGCTCAAGTACCCGATCGGGTGGTTTGATATACCCGATCGGGTAATTTAATTCGAAGGATTTTTTAGCTTTCCAGATTAATTCACCCGACCGGGTGACTCGAATACCCGACCGGGTATTACGTCGTTGTTTTTTTTTTTTCTGCTCCAGGGGTTCTCACCCGATCGAGTTTGGGGGTACTCGATCGGGGAATTTAATTCGAAGGAAAAAATTTTAAATTTCCGTAATATACCCGATCGGGCCTTATGGGTACCCGCTCGGGTACCCTCTTGAAAATTTTCTTACTTCTCGATCGGGTTTCCTCGAAGCCCTGCCTTTTCATACGTACCCGATCGGGTATAGCAATGGTGCCCGATCGGGTACCCTACCCTGGGACGTGTTTTTGTCCAGTTTTAACCTCTTTTTAGTGCGGATCCGATCGGTTAAGTGATGAAGACCGATCGGAGGTTTTCCCAGGCTTTCAAAACATGGTTTTCCCTCATTTTTCTTTTGAGAATTTTCCCCATTCTCTCAAAGTTGATATTCAAAAACAAAAATTTTAAAAAGAAAAGATGAAAGATGCGTACCTAAGCATGGGTTGCCTCCCAAGAAGCGCTTTAGTTAACGTCGCGGCACGACATTATTATTATTTTTTTATTGTTTTTATGTGGGATCGTGAATATCCCCTGTTTCATTCTTTTTCTTCAGCCTTTTCCAGTAAGGCCGAGATTTCTTCTTTGTTATCACCTCAAACACAAGTGATTTACTTTCGTATTTAGGTGCCTCTTCTTTCAAAATAGATTTTTCTTGTTTAATTCTTTCCTTAAAAAGTGAGGTCTCCTTGGCTTGTTTTCCAACAAAAACGTTTGGTGTTTGTGGTTCAAAAACATTTAGAGAACAAAGAGATTGGTCTTTAAATTGTTTTTTCGTAGAATCAAAGATGTTGAATTCTACCTTTTGGTCATCAAACTCCAATGTTAATGAACCATTAGACACGTCTATTTTTGTTTGGGCGGTTTTTAAGAAAGGTCTCCCCAAAAGGATGGGTGTAGTTTGGTTATCGGCTTCCATTTCAAGAATATAGAAATCAACAGGGAAGACCAAAATTTCAACTTGTACTAGCACGTCCTCTACTACACCCTTTGGGTATGTGCAAGACCTATCTGCCAATTGGATTACCACCCCGGTTTCATGCATAGGGCCAAGTTTTAGGGACTTGTATAATGAATATGGAATAACATTGATTGAAGCCCCTAAATCCAACAAGGCCCTAGGAAATAAAGTGTCCCCTATTTTGCATGGGATAGTGAACATGCCTGGGTCATTGCATTTTTCCGGGAGTTTCCTCTGGAAAATTGCTGAGACACGTTCACTAACCTTTACCTCTTGTTTTGCCTTCAATTTATCTTTCCTTTTTATTGTGCATAGTTCTTTTAAAAACTTTGCATAACGGGGAACACTTTTGATCAATTTGAAGAGTGGGATGTTTACCTCAGAATCGGCGAAGGTCTCGTAGAGGTCCCGATCATTCTTCAGCTTTCTTGTGTCCTTCAGTGCTTCGGGGAATGGAGGAAGTGGCTCATATGATGAAAGTGGAGGGGATTTAGTTTTCGTTGGTTCCCCCTCGTTTGGTTGAAAATCTTCTCCAGGATCAACCCCATTTTCAGATTGTTTTTCTTCCTCATGCACCTCTTTCAATGTTGGCTCATCCCTCAACATGATTGCATTAACATGTTGTCTCGGGTTTTGCTCCGTTTGAGATGGGAGTTTACCCGAGTCTTTTGCCTCAAGTCGGCTCACCGCAATTGAGATCTGGCTCATTTGATTTTCCAAGTTTTGGATGCTAGATTTCGTTGTTTCTTGGAATTGAGCCACACTTTGTTGCATCGTTGAA